AAGTGGCTTGTCAATCACAGGAAGCCCCGCCCTAACTCCTCCCCCTCTTTCTGGTCTCTTTGACTCTAATTGAGACTTTAACAAGTACATCATCCCATCTTTAGTTTTAGAAACAGAAGGGACCATATGAGAGGAAGGAGCTGGAGAGGAGACGCCACCTGCTGGACATTAAAGAGATTGCAAATGTATTAAGGTTTATTTAATGGTGCGTTTCATTTGAGCTCAGATGTCGGAAATTCTGAGTTAACGGTCTGATACGTCATCAGGATGTCGGAATCTGACTTGGAAACTCAGAGCAACTTCAGCAGCCTGAGTTAGAAAAAAACAACATGGCTGCTCCGTGCATCAACAGTAACGTTTGAGCTGTAACTGTTATATCGAGTGGACCGATAGCATCATGTAAGTTCTATGTGTGGAAATGTTGTCGTGTTATTTTTGTGTGCAAACTATCACGAAGTCTGTCGTTATCTCCTGATGTTAGCTAACACAACAAAGGTACTCCTGGCGGCATCCATGTTGTTGGTTGTGCGACTTGTTGCAGACTCGTAACTGGAAGGCGTTTTTTCTTGGGGGTGACGTCATTCCCAGCTCCAACATCCGAGTTCCAACGTAAATGGAACGCACCAAAAGAAACCTACGGTGCCCCTAATGACTGCAAAAAAAAAACACATTTTCACATTAATTAAATGTTTTTGACTTTCTGGGCCACCGTAGAATCCGATTGTTCACTGTTTAGTTCATGTTAATGTGTTCAGTGGGGCCTGTCTTATTCCTGGACGTGTGGTCTATTTATTCAAATATGTTTATATATTTATATTATTTTAAATAATGATTCTCTTTAGAGCCACACCCTGTCAGGCTCAGCTGATAGTTCACACACTGTGATGATTAAAGTGTGTAATTCCTGCATGTGTGTGTGTGTGTGTGTGTGTAATTTCTGCATGTGTTTGTGTGTGTGCTGCATGTGTTTGTGTGTGTGTGTGTGTGTGTGTGTAATTTCTGCATGTGTTTGTGTGTGTGTGTGTGTGTGTGTGTTTGTGTGTGTGTGTGTGTGTGTGTGTGTGTGTGTGTGTGTGTGTGTGTGTGTGTGTAATTTCTGCATGTGTGTGTGTGTGTGTGTGTGTGTGTAATTTCTGCATGTGTTTGTGTGTGTGTGTGTGTGTGCGTGTGTTTGTGTGCGTGTGTAGTAAGGCCTCCTCACCCCGGGGTCCCTGCCACCCTCAGCAGCTCCTCCTTGTTCAGCCCGGTGAATTTCACCTTCCGGTCCTCCTCCTCCTCCTCCTCCTCTTCAGGGATCTTAAGCTTCACGGCGCCGTTTTTCTCCGCCGCCGCCTCCCCCTCCCCTCCGGCAGACAGAGCCTCTTCTCCCCGTTCTCCTGCTCCGGTCATCGGCTGCTTCTCCTGCTCCTCCTGGTCCAGGTCCGCCTCGCTCACATCGGCCTCCGTGGCGTCAGCATCCTGAGCGGGGGGCTGAGCGGGGGACTCCTCCGCATCCTTCAGCTCCGTATCTCTGCTCCCCGCATCCTGCAGCTCCACCTGCGTCTCCTCCGTGTTCATACCGGCGATTCACCGTTAATTTACCGAAAAACACCGAAGAAAAGAAACGAGGCGGTCGTGTAAATCACGGAGATGGTCTGCACTGTCAGATGTGTCCGTGATGTCTGTCTGTCTGTCTGACGGAGTCTGCCTGTCTGTCTGACCGCAGCGCTGCAGCTCATGATGCTTTCAATGCCGTCGGAAATATGGGAACTATGCCCGCAAACGCCTCACAGTTTTACGTTAATTTCTTTCACTTCAGTGAAATTTCTAACCCTCGAAAATTCTGGGAAATATAAAAGTATTAAGTCCCTGAAGTCCCCGAAAATTAAAAAATATATATATTTCGTGTGAGCAAGATATTTCTTTTTACTGTTTTGGACTTTAGGGTCGCCAAAGCTTTAGGATGATGAGCCCCTGAAGTCCCAGAACTAAATCATCATGTTCATGTGGGGCACTGATTGTAAACTTAAAAACATGTCTTCTTCTCATTTAGCTCTAAAATATATTGAATCACATTTAGAGTAATGTTTGGGAACTTTGTCATATTTATTATTATATATGTGAAATTGAACCAAAGATCATTTGACTAGCAAATGGAAATGTTAAATGTTATAAACACAGGTCACGTTTCTGAATAATAAGCTAAGATTTTAGATGCTAAATATTTAAATCGTGACTTGTTTTTAACATTTAGATTACAATATTTTAAGTTTATTTTGTCTTTATACTTGTGTGGATACAATTCAACAAATGTGACCTCAATATTTCTGTAGAGAACACATTTGAAATCGTTTCAGCTGAGTTATAATCAGTTATTAACGATTGTAGTTGTCTAAAAGTCAGACAGATGCGCAGGCAGAGCAGGCCAACTGTGTTTCAGCTCTTTTCTCTCCTATTGAATGAAGACATGAAAACACTTTCCCAATATCTCTGCTTTAGAGGACCATGAGTGTATTCTTTAATTTCCATCTTGTTCAAACAGAAACAAGGAAGCAATCACAATTCAGTTTAGATGTTAAAGTCATTTTAAAGGTCCAATCAGTGAGATGTGTAGTGAGTGAAATGATAAAGTGAGCTTACTATATGATCAGACATTAAGGAAACATGCTATGTTGAAGTGCTGGCTTCTCTGACAACAATGCAGCAGCCAGTATGTCCTCCTTCTAACTTTAGATTCTGGTCCTGAATGCTCTGGATTTGTTTGGACCAGAGAAGGTAGGCGGTTTTAAGGCACGTTTTGGACGCCCCTCGATTTGCCAGATATGAGACCAGTTATCAGGTCAAACCAACAGGTGTTGCAGCGATGGAAGCGGGCAAGAGAAGTGGTTCAGGTAGAAGTGATTGTACCCGACCTAAAAAGCCTCTGCATGTTTCTAATAAGCTCCACGAGCAGAAACGTGCTCAAACTAGGATCAATATTGGAGATGCTTTTGAAAAATGGAGAGAGGTTAGAACACAGAAAGGTTTACAGACCGATGCAGAGCTGGATAAACACTGAAGCTTCAGTGTCCACCACATGGCAACCTGCATGAGCATGGACTCTAGAGAGGAGGGGGCGGGGGGAGACAGCTCCACCCTTCGTCTGGTGGCGATCTGTCCTCTGGGGACTGACTTTTCAGACTTCTAGCGGTTTGTGATAAAGAACTTCCAGCCAAGGCTTCCTCTCACATTTACACTCTGACTTGCAACTAAAAAGAAGGAAGATGAGTCAGATTTCAGACGCAATAATTAAAAACAGGTGCATGCTAATATCAGTGAATCGTCTTTGAAAAGGAGTTAAATGACGTCAGAAGACGCTGTTTGTAAATGCGTATTGAAGATTTTAAAAAGCCTGAGCAGACTGTTGACGACGGCGTTGTTAGCTAAGAATGAAGAGCAGATATGGAATATTCTGTTTAACACAATTTATGTTAAAGTCATACATAATTTAACATAAATTGTTAAAGTCTCTCTGTCCTGCTGATCCCCATTTTAAACTCACAGTGTTACAATGCTGGACTCCCAAAGTGTCAGATCATGAGGTAAACATATGTTGAAGTAATCCAAGGATGAGTCTGCAGAGGGCGCTAAAGTTTGAGAAACAACAAACTGCATGATCAGAGAAACAGAAGCTGTAACGAGCATTATAAAATGTGGATCAATGGCGTCAAAGTGTTATTAATTTACAGTTTCCATAAAGCCATGATGTGGTCTGTCGTCCCCTCAGTGGTCCCGGAGGTGGTGGAGGTCGAGGATTGGGCTGAAACCTTCATGCTGCCCTTCATAACTAACGCTCAGCTGCCTGCAGACGCCGCAGTGGGGTGGAGGCGCTCAGAGCCTTGAGACATGGTGGTCCATGTGTACGAGAACGGCCAGGACCAGCCGTACAGACAAGACAAGTGTTACCATGGCAACACAGAGATGAACAGTGACCCGCTGCGATCCAAAGACCTCAGTGTGACCATCCGTAACTCAGGCAAAAGCGACAGCGGAAAATGTATCTGCACCGTCCGCAGGGAGGGCTACATCCTGGCTCAGAAGGAAGTGCGGCTTCTTGTCAAATGTTTGTTTTTGGCGTTGACGTTTGTACTCTCTGTTCATGTTGTGTGTTGTCTTCTCAGCCTCCAGTGGGGACATGGAGGTGGATCAGATGGAGAAGACCGTCTGTTTCAGCTTTTTATTAAAAATCACTATTACCAGACGACAGCTGAGATCGAGTGAGAGCAGAAACAGTTTAGTTATCAATGCTGTGTGTGCTGTGCCATGTAAAAATGTCCATCTTTACAGCTGCAGTTCTGTCTCCTGCAGTGAGTCAGTCCCTGTAGAGCCCTATGTTAAAATGCCCATCTTTACAGCAGAAATAAACATTTTTACAGACTTTACAGACTCTAGAGGTCCTTTCACGCTTTTAGGGCTGTTTGTCAGGTCAGCTACACGCTTTATTGTGAATAACTCTTATCCTTCATCAAATCAAAACGGATGAGTCATCAAAACATTCACCCCCGTACAGTGTGTGCCGATCGAGACATGAGGTAATCAGACCTGTTTGGTTTTTTGAACCAGGCTGTAAACATGTTAATCTCTGTTTTAAAAACAGGCTTTTTTGAATGGGTGTGTATGTGACTTCCTGTGTTTCTGCAGCCAGCCTCTAGTGGACACTCGAGAAACTGCAGGGTTTTACACTTCAGCATCGGCTTCATTTTTCAACATCTGAGGTTTCAGCTTGATAAAATCAGCATGTTTGTCTCCTCTTTCCAGAGAGAAGATATTTCTAAAAGAAGAAGAAGACGTCAGATGTCCATCACATGAGCTCTGGGTTCTGTCCTTCTGTTCTGTTTCCTGCATGTTGTGTAAAATTAAGAGGTGTTTCTGTGATCAGGTTTCCATTTTTAAATCTTGCTGATGATTTGTCTTTGAAGCTTCAGAGAAAATTTGAAAAACAGTTTACAGTTTGTGCAGCTCTTTGTCTTCAACTGTTACACGGGTCAGTTAAAAGCCCGGTTTCCACCAAGCGGTCCGGTTTGGTTTGGTACAGTTTGGTCTTGCTTGCGTTTCCACAGCAAAAAGTTCCCTTACACATCACTACATACATAGCATTGCGAGTCACAACACTGTGTAGACCGCCAATAAATTCAACAAAGAAGAAAGTCAACAAAGATCAATGATTCCCTCCAAGGTCTGTATCTCAGAGGTGGTCAGAGGGGCGGAGCTACACGCTGACAACAGTCGCAAAAAACAAAACATTCTTGAGATGACTTTCTCCAAATCCTCGGGATCTTTGAACATGGCATTCTTTGTTTGTCCTTTATTACCGCTGTTGCACGGAAAGGGATTTTTTTCAACCAATCGGCAGACTGCAGTGTGTCTAACTCCACCCTTTAGGGTTGGATCGGTTATCTTGGTACCATCCCCAACTTCTGAGAGTGGAAGCGCCATGAATGTGTACGGTAGAGAACCGAACTGACCCGGACCGCTTGGTAGAAAACGGGACGTTTTTTCGGAAACTTTTGCCAACATGAACCACAAAGAAAGGAAGCATGCACAAGGAAACGTATCCAACAGTGAAGTACGCACGAGTGTAAGATCGAGAAAGAATCCAAACAGGTTGTTAAAGAAAATATGATGACATGGAGCAATCAGAGCAATATGTAACCCTGACACCTAGTGTTTAAAATGGGTACTGCAGTCCAAATTACATCTAAACTACTAAACATCATAGAGAGCTGTCTCCCCCCTCCTCTCTAGAGTCCATGCTCACACAGGTTGCCATGTGGTGGACACTGAAGCTTCAGTGTTTAGCCAGTCGGTCTGTAAACCTTTCTGTGTTCTAACCTCTCTCCATTTTTCAAAAGCATCTCCAATATTGATCCTAGTTTGAGCACGTTTCTGTCAGGGCTGTGACGTCTGACTGCAGCAGCAGGTAAACAGACTGTGTCCACACAAAGTAGTTTTTTGTCCCTCACAGGCTCATGTTGTTATTATAAGTGTTTGACGTCATGACACAAATGATCCCTACAGAGAGAGACTTTTGTTTTCACCTCAAACAGCTGTTACATCACTCTCTACAAACACCACAATACATTCAGAAAAACACTGAACAGGCCTTAGGAGACGTTGGACTGACTTGATGAGTTCATGATATTTTGTGACTCTGCACCCTCTTTGACGGTAGGTGGCGGTGTTACCACTTACAGCTGGTTTGCAAACCGCTAATAAAGCTCGAAGAAGAAGGAGGAGACGGAAGTAGAAAAACGCGGATTGTGCGTTCATTCCTCAGTTCAAGATGGCGGACACAGAAGGTGAGTGTGCAGCACGTTTTACTGAACACAGCTGAACTTTAATTAAACCTTTTTAATCAAACGATTTAGTTAATATTACATTTGAGTTAAGTGCACAACCCCAGCTTGTTAGTGTCGGCTGTTTAGGGGGCCTTCTGTCGCGAGTTTGTGTTTTTCCTGCAGAACCTCGTGGAGAAAAACTCACATTTATATATTCAGCAATTTATCATTAGAAACAAACATCCCGCATCGTGTTGTCATTATTATTATTATTATATGTCATTACATCGAGTTTGAGATTTCGTCTCGCGCCCCAGTTTGCAGTGATGTGGGTTTTGAGCTCGTGGGCCTGATCACAGCTAACTGCAGGAGCCACGTGCAGCGGCAGATCTGAGCACCTTTAACTCTAACAAACAAACAAACCTGTAACTTAAAGCGAGGTATAAGAGCACAAACTGAACCTGCACCTGTCGGCTTTAATTCCTGACGTCAATCTCACGTTTTTCTGAGTCTAACGCAGAACCTCGCGGAGAAAACGGATGATTTGAACGTGCATCCAAAATCATAAAAAAAAACGTAACTAAATCTTCGTAGGATACTCTTGGTGCTCGTCGTTACACTAAGTTTGATATTTCGTATGTATCGGGCACATGTGTAACGTGGAGCACGTGGGTTTCTTGATACCTGCAGGGACCACGTGCAGCGACGCACGTTCAACAAGCTACAAGGCCGATTCTGGTTTAACTCAGAAACTAAAACATGAAAATAAATAACCCTGTTTAAGTTAACTTTAAGCACCGTTGATGGGCACTAACGAACCTTGAACTGCCGACTGTGTAAAATTACCGACAACACGTTTTCTGCTTTTAGTTCATAACCTCGTGGAGAATTTGACGTTTTTTCCAATGTTTATTAAAAAGTCCCTGTTTAACTTACATCCGGTGTGACTCTTGATTTGAGTAATTTCACTGAACTATGTGGTTCAGCGTGTCTCTCGGTTCAGATCCTCATTTGATTAATTAAAAACCTATTTGAAAAGTGAGTGAATGTAAAAACTCGTTTTCAGTCAGAATGAATCTACTGATCAGTTTGTGCTATTTTAATAATAGTTGTATGATCATCTAATCTTCGCTCTGTCAACATGTTCAACATATTTGAGGTATTATTGGATGTTTTAGGGGTTCATGTTTATTACGGCCTGTTAGCCTCAGCTAGCTGCCTGATGCTAACAACCACGTGTTGCATGAGAGGCACGTGGGCAACTCGTCACTAATGACGTGACACAAACTGACCTGAGGAACGTGTCTAGAAGGAAAACACCTGAAATTATTTTAAACATACGTTGAATAACTTGCTCAAACGGTTATTTAAAAAAACACTCTAAAATGTTAAAGTCTTATTTTGAAAATCAGCCAAAGAGTTACTAAAATCATCAAAATGTTGAGGGTTTTTTTTCCACTGGTTAAGCTCTAAATTTATCCTCAAATAATGAATAATGTAATATTTGACTTTATAGAAACACTTGGTATGCATGTAACTCCTGCTGCAACCTTTTTACAAAAAATCTGTTTTTTCTTTAAAGTGTTGGGCTGTGTGAAGGTGATGTTGTAGTTCCTTCAGTCCAAAGACCCGTCCTCTATAAATCTAATGAGTCCAACAGTTTTAAACCTAAAGATGCTCATTCACTTTGATTTGGAAAATAACCTGAATGATTCACTGATACGAGTCTTTGTTTTTAAATTACACTTTATTAAATGATTGCAGAGCAGGAATGTTTGGTTTGCTCTGACGGGTCATTTCTCCGACATCTAAATCTGTGCGTCACGTTAATCGTTTGTTTCAGTATCGTCGGCGAAGAAGAAAAAGAAGGTCAAGAAAGTCAGTGAAGAGGATGTCGGGGTGAGTGTGACGGCGAGGCGACGCTGTAGATGTTTAGTTGGGTTTTTTTCTCTGGATGAAGATTTAAAACTGTTTTCCTCTAACAGGAGATCCAGCAGATCGGAGACTTCTTCATCCAGCCCGAGTCTAAAGTGCCCACATTGGACACGTCACAGTGGCCTCTGTTACTAAAGGTAACGCCCCTGAGCTCACCCGTTCTCTCTGAACACTTGATGGCCTGTCTCGTCCATTTAATGTCCTGGAGTCTTTCAGTGTGTGAAGTGATGAATCTGTTTATCCATTCGCTGAGCGGCCATCTGGTCTCTGTCTCTAGCCCTGCCCTCGTTCTGGGGGCGGAGCCTCTCCACAGCAGTGTCAGTGTCGCCATGGCGTTCTGTCAGCGGCGACCTGACGCTGCACGGAGAGAATGACTTGACTGGACTGCTGCAGAGACGATTTAAATGTTCTGATCACACAATGCTCAAGTTATAAAAGACAAAGTTTACCAGAGTGTAGACAATGAGACGGGAGGTGTGATGCAGGTAGATGATTAAGGCGGGTAGGGGAGGTAGATTATGATGATTCAGGTGATGGGATATTTAAAAGTTAGTTTTCTAACATAAGTTGCCCCATGATGGAAAACCGTCAACAAGTTGTTTTTTTGTTTTTTTTTGCAGAATTTTGATAAGCTGAACATCCGCACGGCTCATTACACGCCACTACCGAACGGCAGCAACCCGCTGAAGAGAAACATCAACGATTATGTCAGGTAAGAGCTGACTTGTGCTATGCTAACAATGTTCATGATATGTCAGGTTAGATACAACCAATGCTGTGCAACATCTTGACTTCTATAATTATGTTAAACCTCGACTAATGATAAACACCAACGCCAGCTTTAAACAGCAACATGCATTATGTAAGACATTTTGGAGCCCGGGATGTTGGGCGATCTGATTGGCTTGTGGGGAGGAGTGATGATGCTGAGAAGGTTTCGCTAAACAACCTGATATCATGTGATGTCACAATTTCTCTTGGCTGTCTGACCAATCCCTTGCCTGAAAAAATGTAGTTCAACTTGGTTTCAAATGGAAAAGTAGAACACTGCAGGTTATTTATAAATGCATCTGATTGGTCAGCGACTGATGTTTCTACTTCCTGTTTCCTGTCAGGTCTGGCTTCATCAACCTGGACAAACCGGCGAACCCGTCGTCTCACGAGGTGGTGGCGTGGATCAGGAGGATCCTGCGGGTGGAGAAGACGGGTCACAGCGGGACACTTGACCCCAAGGTCACAGGTTGTCTGATCGTCTGTGTGGATAGAGCCACACGATTGGTCAAGTCCCAGCAGAGCGCCGGTACACTTATGACCACTTCTTTTTCTGTTAGCGTCAGAATAAATGTAACACAGAATCTCCACCCGGCTGGTTGGCCGGCCGGCGTGCGAGCTCAGTAAAACAAGCGGCCCCCCTCACTACTCTCTGTGTATGTGTTGCAGGTAAAGAGTATGTGGGGATCGTTCGGCTGCACAATGCCATAGAGAGTGAGCACACTCTGGCCCGGGTAAGACGATCCTACTGAGGAACTTTAATTAAATGGTTAAATTTAAATTCTGATAAAGATGGAAACTTGAATGAGTGGCAGGACATGAAGGTTGTTCTCAGTTTTGAGCTCATGCAGAGACAATGTCTAAATTACTCAAACATTGGCGACAAGAGGGTGGAGCTAAAGAGGAGTGAGGGCTCCATCTTGTCAAAGCGTTTATAATGATTTTGGTAATTTAGACATTTGTGAACGAGTTTTCCTGTAATTTGAGTATTTAAAGAAACGACTCGCTTTGGAGTGTAAACGTTTGGTATTAAGAATCCTTCTCTGGTATCTGCAGGGGTTGGAGCAGCTGACCGGTGCTCTGTTCCAGCGGCCGCCGCTGATCGCTGCTGTCAAACGACAGCTGAGAGTCCGAACGATCTACGACAGCAAACTGATCGAATACGACCCCGAGAGGAGGCTGGGTAAGATCGCTATAACCCCATGAGGTTAAAATCAGACTAATGACTTGATGTGTTCACCTGGTTTCTGTACTGGGTGGTTGCTCTAAAGTGTGTCTGCAGCTCCAAGTCTGTTAGACTATTAGACACGAGGAAACACTGGAACAAACTAGTTTAGATGACCCATGCGTCTCCATGGTAACCAAATGACTGTCTAGTTAATGCAAGGTGTTTACACTAGCTGCTGAGGTCAGAGGTCACAGAGGACTTTGTGTTACAGGTATCTTCTGGGTGAGCTGTGAGGCAGGGACTTACATCAGGACCCTGTGTGTCCACCTGGGTCTGATGCTCGGGGTCGGAGGTCAGATGCAGGAGCTCCGGAGGGTGCGGTCGGGTGTGATGGGGGAGACGGTGAGCATCACTTCTTGTAGATCCTGAAATTTGATTCTATTAAACTTATACTGACGCCAACATTGAGACTGAAGAGCTACAGTCTTTGTAAAGCTTTGGTGCTTGTGATTGTAAACGTGAGCTCAAAGTGTTGAGTCCAGGCCTGCTGCTCGGTGCAGGTCTGCTAATTAAACTTTGGAAAAGAAACCTGCAGCGGAGACTCCGACTCCACTGTCAGTTCAGACTGTGGCGCCTCAATGCTGCTGACATCATTGTGACATCATTGCCCCTTACTGACATCACGGTCACTGCTGATGTTCTAAGTTTTGTGTGTTTGTCTTTTTCAGGACCACCTGGTGACGATGCACGACGTGCTGGACGCTCAGTGGCAGCTGGATCACAACAAAGACGAGACGTACCTGCGGAGGGTCATCTTCCCTCTGGAGAAGCTGCTTGTGTCCCACAAACGTCTGGTGATGAAGGACAGCGCTGTGAGTCTTCATCGTTTAAATCACTGCTGTCTTTAGAGCCTCTGAGTTTAACTGACGGACAAAGAGAACTTGACCTGCTGCAGACGTTACAGCCTGCTAACATAGCTTAGCTACTACCAAGTACCAATGCTACGCTAACATCGTTTATGATTGTCAGGTTTGCTGAGACCAATGCTGCGCTAAAAACTGTTAGTTTTATGGTTGATGGTATCAAAGTGCCAAGAGCTCTAAAAAGCAGTATGCATTACCTAAGACGTGTGTTAGCCTAGGACGCTTGGCGCTCTGATTGGCTCTTGGTGAGGAATGATGATGCTGAGAAGGTTTCGCTAAACAACCTGATATCATGTGATGTCACAATTTCTCTTGGCTGTCTGACCAATCCCCTGCCTGGAAAAATGTAGTTAGACAGATTAAAGGGTAAAAGTATGATGTTTGAAGTGATTTGTGACTGACTATAACTGTTGCTGCGTCTGCAGGTGAACGCCATCTGTTACGGGGCGAAGATCATGCTGCCAGGTGTCCTCAGGTATGAAGACGGCATCGAGATGAACCAGGACATCGTTGTCATAACCACAAAGGGCGAGGCCATCTGTACAGGTGAGTGACAGAGGTGTTGGTGTGTGTGGAGGTGCAGCCACATGATGAGTTTGAGTAGCGTCAGCAGCTCTCGGGGCCATGATGACCTGCTATCTATCACCCCTTACTGATGGCTGCTCTCCATATCCACATACACACCTGCCGCTCTCTGATGAAAGAATCGATGTGATCGATAATGAATATTAATCCGTTTATGATCTCTGTCCTCGTCCAGCCGTGGCGCTGATGACCACGGCGGTGATCTCCACCTGTGACCACGGCGTTGTGGCGAAGATAAAGAGGGTGATCATGGAGAGAGACACGTATCCCCGGAAGTGGGGTCTGGGACCGAAGGTGAGGCGGAGGTCATGATGCTGCATCCTGTTCATTCAAAGTTTAATTTGAAAGTATTAATTTGTGTTTGTCCAATCAGGCAAGTCAGAAGAAGATGATGATTCAGAAAGGACTCCTCGACAAACACGGGAAACCAAACGGCAGCACGCCTGGCGACTGGAAGAGCGGTTACGTAGACTACAGGTAAGGCTCACCTGAGGGGGGGGGGCTCACCTGTGTGTGTGATGCAGACAGTTATCCCTCACCGTGCTGCCGTGCGCTCTGAGGGAGTCAGTCTGCTACAGGAACTCTCAGCCATGAGCGCTGTCACTCTGCTGCCTGCAGAGCTGCAGCTCACCTGAGGACACTGATGACATCAGCAGTGATGTCATACTGAAGGTGATGACATCACTGCTGGTCACATTCAGTTTTAATGTAAAGAATCTTTAAGAACCTGTGGATTGATCACCTCTTTTTGTTTTGACAGCATCTCTAAGAAGACTGAGGAATCGGGTGACACTTCAGCAAAGGTATACTCAACCTATCAGCTGAGAGTTAATCTGTGATAGACTGTAATGTCCAATCAGAAAGGTCCTGCCAGATGTGTCTGACCTGTACTGTGTTTTGCAGAGGAAGAGAGAGGCTGCGGATAGCGAGGGAGAGACGACTGCGCCTGGCACGCCATCTGCAGAGGAGCTTAAAAAAGAAAAGAAAAAGAAGAAAAAAGACAAGAAGGCGAAGCTGGAGGAGGCAGAGACTGATGGAGTGGAGGGCGGAGCCAGAGGAGGCAGCAGCAGAGCCTGAGACTGAGGTGAGAGCTGAACATCTGTGTGCAGTCAGACGGTCGCATGATGGCGAGCTAGAATTAAATGTTTAAATTGAATAAATGTTTCAACGCGTTTGTGTTTCAGGTTGTCGACAGTGCCAAGAAGAAGAAAAAAAAGAAGAAACAGAAAGACGAAGAGACGTCGGAGTGACGGCAAGCGACCAATGAATGGACATGAAACTGACAGACTCCGCCCACAGACGCACCTGTCTGAACGCAAAGCATTCTGGGAGTTTAACAAAATGGACTGCATGAGTGCAGAAAAGAGAAGAGGACGGTTTTTTATATAAATTTTATTGTTTTGTTTTTTTCTGTAAATAATGAACAGGATGCTGAACAGTTTGTACTATCAAAATAAACGTCTTGATTTCTGTAATCAGGTCTTCATGCTTTTACTGCATCTATCACAACATCCTGTGTGTTGGACTAAAATATGAAGGAGCCAGTCAGCTGCACGACAGGCATGCTGAAAATGGCTGATGGTAACACGCTTGTGTGCTCGCTTGTGGTCATGCTGACCGCACCTGAGAAGAAGGACACGCTTTCACAAAGTGACCCGGTGGATCGGAGAAATAAATTGTTCATATAAAACACTACAACTTTATTTAAATTCTTAAATCACTAAATCTATAAATTCTTTGATAATCAAAACCTTGCATTACACGATAAAAGTGAGAAATAATTTAACAGGTTACAATGAGTCTTGAGACTAACAGAAATTTCTGACAGACTACACCCCCTGCTGTTTAAAGAGTGCATTGAAATATGCTCCCACACCTACATGTGTATAATCCTTTCTAAAGACCAGTACACTATATTTATATTCTGATAAAGAGCCTCTGTCACTGAAGGGTTTCTGATTGTATTTATTGATCTGAGTTTAGGAAGTTGGGTCTCTAAAGAGTAATGATGTGTGAAGGTTTTATTTTACATAAAGACAACTGATCCAATTTCAGCTGAACTTCTGTGAATGTTTTCATCCATTACACATCTGTAATAAAGTTGAAGGAGTTCAAGCTGTAGCAGATTCTGTAACGACACTTCACCATGTTCCTTGAACTCTGTGTTCCTAGTCTGTCTACAAACCCCCCAATGATGAGAAAAGTCCATCCTCTCCGTCTTCTTCCTGCTCCACTTTTCAGAAAATGTGTGCTCAAACAGGCCATTTGGAGATTTTCCCATCATGACATCACAAAGGGCAGTAGCCCCTCCCCCAGGTGGGTGACACTCCCACAGCTAGGTGTTTGTTCTGCCCTCTGAGTTTGCCTTCTCACTGTAAACACTAAGACATGGCAAGCCTGAGACACCCAAGCCCTTCCAGAGAGGGGGCGTGGTCAGACACAGCTCATTTACATTTAAAGGTACAGACACAGAAACAGCCTGTTCTGAGCAGGGCTGAAATAGAGGGGTTTATAGGCATGATCAAATACAGGATCAGAGTGGATTTAGAACTACAAACTTCACATGTTTTGAGGAGCTCTGAGACTTATTTAAGCTGAGTTTAAGAGGAGGAGAATATGTGACCTTTAACCTTTGAACATCCTGATCTGAAATAATTAACTTTAAGTATTTAAGTTTTGGACTCACACAAAGCAGTCAGTAGAGAAAACAAAGTATCTTAGCTTATTGATTTATTTCATCTGATAATAATTACTTTGGCAACACAAGACAAGCTTTCTGATCCTCCTTTCACCAAGTCTATTATCTTTATTTAGTGAACCTTTTAGAATCTATCGTTCTGATGGAAGCTAATGCTAACAGCTGCTGTGATTTACAGTGATGCACTTCATCATGCTAACACATGCTTATGCTGAGCATTATGCTTTTAAGGCACATTTAGTACGAGTGTGTGATTAAAACAAACGTAGTGATGTCACAGTCTGCTGGTCAGACACAGTCGCAGGTGAGCGGGTCTCTGTGTGAGCTGGTGATGACTCGCACTCTGTGATTGGTCCGTTCCTGCAGGTCAGAGGTCAGCTTCAGCAGACGGGGACTGGGTCCGTAGACGACCCAGCTCGGGTCTCGTGGGTCAGGTCTGTGGAATGAGTCGAGAACCTCGAGAGTGTCGAGACGCCGCAGCTGCTGCAGAGACAGGAAGTCAGCGTCCGACACGTGGTGGTGTCTGAAACCCAACACAAACAGATGGTTACTATGGAGACCAGCAATAGTCCACGTTGCAGAGGGGATTTAAGCCAGATGTTAAAAACAGAGCTGGTCGGGTGTTTGGAGATTCACCTGATCCGGAGCGTCCTCAGGTGAGGAAACAGCTGTGGGAGGAGCCTGACCAGGTTGGAGGAGGAGCTCCAGGGCTCCAGGTGCAGGTGTTCCAGGTGAGGAGCTCTCAGTGACACCACATGCAGGTCTTCAGGCTGCAGGTCCACACAGAGCGTCAGACTGATGAGGGACGACGGCAGCCAGTCAGCGTAAACCCCCAGAGGATGGCCTCCTATTGGACGGACAGAGTGAGGTCATCACATTATCACAGTATTACGAGAGGAGAGAGAGAGAGAGAAGTCAGAATGTTCCTGCAGTGGAAATAAAGCTGTTTTCACATCTGCACTCCTGAATACTTCTAGATCACATCAGGAGGACTGCTCCTGAAATCCTCCTCACCTGCTTGTTCACACATGCACCTCACAGCAGAGACTATCCCTGTCAGACAGGAGGGGGCGGGTCTCCTGAGGTTAGACATGACGTAAAAAGAACGACATGGAAGTGGCAGACGGAGCATCAGAGTCAGCTATAAGACGCTATAATGAGAATATCTGTCTTTCTATCAATACTACATGTAGTTGAACAGAATCTCAATCTCAACTAAAGAGTGGAGAAGAACATACTGGAGAACAGAAAACATGCAGCAGCAGGTTCATTAGAGCACGGAGATGGTAGAGGTGGCGTGCAGACAGTCTATGGTCGTGCAGCGATCACAGGGAATAAACGTCACCACCCCCTCCCACTCGCTCCAGGTGAATTCTCCTGATTATATCCTGCTGCGTTCTCACATCAGCTCACTCTGACTTTCTGCAGAATAAATACGAGGAGGCTGGAGGAGAAACTCAAACATTCAGCTGTTTGTGTTCACACATGACGCTCAGCGTGAAAAAAAACTACGACTACTATAAAAGATAAGTGGAGTGTGACGGCTCAGCTGAAGGTTTAGAAGGAGAGATTCAGTCAGACATTAGATCTGAAAGAGGCTGTAAAGGAAGTGGAACCAGGTAAACATGAGAGAGAGTAAACAACACGTCAGACAAACAGTAAACTTAAAGAAATGTCCCTTTAACATCTCGATGTCCAGACTACAATCACTGTTACGACACAGCAGGGTCATGACGTCTCACCGTGCACACTGAGGCTGCGGAGCTGCTGCAGAGACGTCAGCCATGTTTGCAGGTGACAGGTGGGTCCAGGTACAGAGTACAGGTGGAACACTGACAGGCTGCTCAGGTAGGACAGAGGCTGGAGGACTTCCTGCGTCACCATGGCGTCATAATTCAACAACTGCAGGTCAGACAGCTTCAGAGCAGCGCCACCTGCTGGACCACAAACACAGCGTATCTCTTCATTTATAACACAAACACACCTGTCATTACAGCTGTTAGTTTTATTTACAAACACCAGCTGATGTTTAGTAAACAATCTCATCAGCTGTTTGATGACAGCTTCATGTGACGTTTCTCCATCAGTTTGACTTTGGACACATTGCATCTGTAACGGCGTAATATTTTTGTCCACAGGGGGCGCCAACGTCAACACAAACTCAAAGTTCCTCACAGGAGCTAAAAACAAACAAAAACACTTTACCAACTGTGTGTGTCTACCTGTGAGGTGGGCGGGGCTAAAGTAGTCACGAGGCAGTGTCTTGTAGGTGATCATGGTGCAGGACAGGTGTGTGAGCTCGGGCAGGTGAGTCAGGACTCCGCTGAGCGTTGAGACTCTCAGACTTCCGTCGTGATGCAGCCGCAGTGACGTCAGACGAGTCAGCTTACTCACAGCTGCCAGCAGGTGAGGGGCGGAACAGGTGAGCTGCACATTACAGAGGCTTAGCTGCGTCAGCTGATGACTCAGAGAAAACAGGAAGTCCATGCGTTTAAGTTGAGTGGAACAGGAAGTGACAGACAAACGCTTCAGTTGGAGGAAAAGTTTCAGTTCGTCGATGCTCTCCTCCCTCCAGTCGTCCAATCGTAGTGTATCGATGGCAGGAAGCCAGGTGGAGAGCTGCTTCAGGTGTTTCCTCTTACCTGACCTCAGAGACACCCTGCACACTTGCCTCTGAGCCAGGCTGCGCCAGAACGACCGGTTGTACCGCGGGAAGTTCTGCAGCACCACGCTGAAGCCTTGCCACAGGGAGCGGGACTTATCCAGCAGGTGTCTGAAGTGAGAACAGGTGCAGCGCACGCTCAGTTTGTCTCTCCAGGACAGGAAGCTGAACACCTGCAGCCACAGCTCGGGTAGAAGCTGAAGTGCTGACATCATCACTTCAGTTACACGTCATACACAGGTGGAAAACCATCAACAACAGGTCATACACAGGTGGAAAACCATCAACAACAGGTCATACACAGATAACCATCAACAACAGGTCATACACAGGTGGAAAACCATCAACAACAGGTCATACACAGATAACCATCAACAACAGGTCATACACAGGTGGAAAACCATCAACAACAGGTCATACACAGGTGGAAAACCATCAACAACAGGTCATACACAGGTGGAAACACGTTGACAACACGTCAGCAGACCCGATTTGAGTTGTGAATGTTCGATCAGCTGTCTTGATCGATTATTGATCGAACATTCTGTCGCTTCCCTGAAACGCAGACCTTTCTCCTCATAGCCCCAGCAACTTCCGGGTGCGCCAGGCTGTGCACAGATTGTGAGTACGGTGAGGTCTCACTCTGACTGTTTCTGCGGAGCTCAGGATTCATGTTAAACATTCTCTGTGTTCCATCCATCTCTGTTCTTCTTTATTTATAATGACGTCTCGTGACGATCACACCTCGACCTGCTCTACCTCTGTCGTCAATTTACTTGATTTGAAAAAGTGTCAGAGTGAGACCTCCTCACAAACTATAATCCTGTCAGAGTTGTGACGTAACTTTCGGTAAATCCAATCACATCGACAATTTCAGTCATTAGATTAATTTAATATAATTTAATTATCCTCAGCCTGTCAGACCAGTAAGGCCGGAAATATTCATGAAGGAGCAAAAACATTTCACAATAAAATACTTTATTCTGAAAATATAGAACTGAATTTAACATGTGACGCAGGTAAGATGATGATGACGGTCACCATCAGAGATGACGATGATTTCTTCCTCCCCTCTATGTTACAGCAGTGTCAAAAGCACTTCAATAATACTCTGTTAATGAATTAATGTTAAGTTAATAACTTTTATTTGAAGTTTAAGTTAAGTTATAAATTAGATAGCTAGTAGTAATCATCTGCTGAAGTCCTGTTAGGTGCATTTCATTGTGCATACATTACTGTATCTGCCTTTACACTGAAGTTTTGCGTTTATGTAAATTATTTCAGAAAAAAAAGTGTTAATAAAGCACGTAAAACTTTAAGTATGACTCTTATTACTTCATTAAAACCACGTTTTAAATCATGATTCACCACAACTGGTGCCCCACCCCACCGTTGGGCCAGTGGTGGTCAGACCCCTACTGAGTTGCACCCCGCTGCGTGGTGTCCCTTATTTTTTTGCTTGGAAGGTGGCGACCCTAGTTCTGACTCACACCTATCTTCAGGTCTTCACACTGTCTCCCCATCAGTTATAGAATCCTGTTCATAATTTGTTATTGTGTTCAAAGCCGTGCACGGTCAAACAGGACCCTGTGGTCGTCTGAGGTCCTCTGATCGGGGTCTGCTGGTTCTCACTTGCACCTCAAAACTTCAAAAAAGGATACTTTGCCCTTTAGGTCACATCCAGTGATCTAGTGGTGCCTGAAGACGTGGGTATACTCTATCCACGTCTATTTGGGTTTACCCCAAATGTTCAAAAAATAAATATATATTTGATTATTGTTGTTGTTGTTGTTTGCCCTAATAGTATCTGATCCAAGCTCCAGCATAGCAGGTGGTGGTAATGCACATTAAGGACTAGTTGCCATGCGCCACTAAACAAAAAGAACAGTTAATGTTCCTGAAAAGAACAGGGATGAAAGTCAGTTTTTTTATATATAAGTTTTTTTATATAAGTTTTTTTTATATATTATTATTATTTTAAAATGATCATTATTGTTGTTTTCCTGTGGCAGAATTCTGATCCCGCTCCAGGTCAGCAGGTGGCGGTAATGCACCAATAACCACCATAAAACCTAAAAGTAGAAGAAGAACACCACCAAAGAAGTAACCCGGAAGTGTGCTCATCAACGTGAGCTGTGAGGGTTCGTTGATGAAATGGAAGGTGAGTGAATATTTGTATAATATAAAATATCTTTATTTGATTAATTCAAAGTTTGATCTGAAGAAGAAACCTGGAGGGAACATGTGTGAAATCATCTTAATAAATCATCAGTACCGAAAAGTACAGAAAGTTACGGAGCCCCTCAAGTCCCAAAAAGTAAACAAAACATATCGAAGAGGCCCCGTTTAAACTACTTCACCTGTTCAATGAGACAGGTGTGACGGAGGGTGTAACGCTTTAAAGAGTGACCGTGTTAACTGGTGACTTTCAGCCAGACGCCTCTGTGGTTGTCATGGTTACGACAGATGTTGAAGTCGGAAAGAGTCCCGACTAATGTCACTTTGTTTAGTTTTTTTTATTGAGAATATTTATGAATAATAATAAAATAAATGAAACGCTTTACAACGACCTGTTCAGTCTGGTTCTGCGGCACATTGATCAATATAAACGGTTTGTCGGCTATGTCAGAGAGTTCGGGATGACATGCAGGAAAGGTGACAGTTCGGATTTGAACCCGGGCAGCCCATTTGGAGGACTGTAGCCTCCGTACATAGGGCACGTACACTAACCACTAGGCTACTGGCGCCCCTCTTTATATGGAAGTGTTTCTAACTGTGAATATAATTGTTTGTCATACTTCTTTGGTGTACATAAACATTTAGAAAAGACAAACATCAACATCTCTTGTAGCCACGACAACATGTGGCTGACAGTCACCATTTAACACAGTCACTCTGTAACACTGTTGAAAGACATCCACAAAGACATCGGAAACGTTTCCGTACCGAAACATTGACGATGTATTTTTGCTTATACATTCAGTAAATGATCAAATATTGTTTGTCTAGGACTTCTCTCTTAGTTGTCATGGTAACAAACAAGTAATAATATCATTTATTTTTTATTAGAATCATATCGAAGATTAACATCGGGTATTGTGACAGCTCTTCTGTATCCTGATAAGATTTCTGCCCCCACCCCTTTCTCCCTTTCAGGGGTGTCAGATGACATCACAGTGACCTCATCAAACAGGAAGTCCACTGCTGTCACAGGAACTGCAAGAAAGATCAAAGACAACGCGGCAGATTGGCACAATCTGATCCTAAGGTGGGAAAAACTCAACAATGAAGGATTCACAGCGGCGGGAAACATCATCAACATCAGACAGACACAGTGAGTTCAGGGTACTTTGGTTTGTTTGGCTGAGCTTTATTTTGAAAGGCTGTTCAGGTTAGTTATCACATTGAATGGGTTTTACTTAGGCCATTAAAGGAGATAAATCTGAGAATGGTGGTCATAAACCAAACGTCAACCTCTGGTTGTAAAAAATCAAGCTAATGCAAATGTGCCAAAAACCTGCAGTTCCTTCAGTGTCCACTCGACTGTTTCCTGCAGTGAGTCAGTCCCCATAGAGCCTCGTATTAAAATGTCCAACTTCACAGCTGCAGTTCTTTAAGTGAATCTGTGTTCTTGGCTTCAGCTCCCAGAGAGATCAGCTGCTGCTGGCTGATGAGTCTTCGTCATCCTCATCATCTTCAACAGCTCCCTCCCAGCAGACAGGGGGCGCTGCAGAGCTGCAGGAAGAATGCAGCAAACTGAAAGACGTCGTCGACAAGATGGTGACGTTTCACTTTTATCAAAGAGGGTTTAAATCAGAAGAACAAATAAGTATGAGCAGATGAGAGTACAATGAAGAGGATGTCATAAGAGATCAGAGATCCTTGATTTAAATCTCTAAATATGTGATCAGAGAAATAAACTGACATTAACTTAACAAGAAATACTTTTTACATTTCCTGTTTTCAGAATAAAAGCAGCATTTGTCTTCTTCCTGTCAGGTTGTCGTAGTGACGAAGATGGAGCGTCTGGTGACATCACAGCGAGGCATTCAGGAGCTGGAGCAGTTTCAGTTCGGACCTGAAGGGAGAAAGTTTCCTCTGTTTCACACCTGGAACACCAAACAGTTTGGTAAGTTCACCTGTCCACTAAAACTCACCTGAGTGATTTCAGCAGGTCTCTGGTGTCTGTCGTTGATTCGCTCGTTCTGTGTCTTGTCTCTTTCAGACGACTTGTGTCGTGTCCTGTTGGACGCGTTCTGTCAGGAGTTGAAGTTGAAGCAGATGATCCTGCAGGAAGTGGCTCACACAGCGACCTCTGACCTCTGCATGGTCTACCTGTCCTGCTGGCTGCACCTGCCATACATCCCCCCGCAGACCAGACTGAACCTGGAGGCTCTGCTGCTAGAGACCGGGCACCGCCTGCTCTGATGTCATTGACCTCCTGAGTCATGCTGTTTAACACAAGAGTGTGTATAACACAGGAGTGTATTACACAGGTGTGTATAACACAGGAGTGTGTTACACAGGTGTGTATAACACAAGAGTGTTTATAACACAGGTGTGTATAACACAAGAGTGTGTATAACACAGGAGTGTATTACACAGGAGTATATCACACAGGTGTGTATAACACAGATATGCTGTGGGACTGCTTCCTGCTCCAGGTGAGCTCAGAAGACGAGAAGCCGGACTGAACCTTGAGTGTCTGTGATTTGTTCAGTTTCTGTCTCTGGAGTGTTTGTATAAGTTTAATACGAACATGAAAGAATAAGCATATTTAATTAATTCAACTTTGAACTTGTAGAATAAATTAAGTTTCTTGTCTACCACTGCACCTGGTGTTTTATTTATTTTGTTAAAGGTCCCATATTATATAACATCCACTTCCCTGTGTTTCTCTAACTCTAATATATGTCCCTAGTCTGTCTACAAACCCCCCAATGATGAGAAAAGTCCATCCTCTCCGTCTTTTGCCTGCTCCACTTTTCAGAAAATGTGTGCTCAAACAGGCCGTTTGGAGATTTTCCCTTCATGACATCACAAAGGGCAGTAACTCCTCACCCAGGTGGATGACACTCCCACAGCTAGGTGTTTGTTCTGCCCTCTGAGTCTGCCTTCTCACTGTAAACAATAGGACATGGAGCGAGAAAGCCCCAGACACCCAAGCCCTTTCAGAAAGGGGGCATGGTCAGACACAGCTCATTTACATATTTAAAGGTACAGACACAAAAACAGCCTGTTCTGAGCAGGGCTGAAATAGAGGGGTTTATAGACATGATCAAATACAGGATCAGAGTGGATTTAGAACAAGAAACTTCACACACACGTTTTGAGGAGCTCTGAGACTTATTTACACTGAAGAAGAGAAGGAGAATATGTGACCTTTAAACATATAGGGCTCATCTGTAAAAAATCACATTCATTTTCTTCATAGTGGATTTGATTATTAGCCATGATGTCATCACAGGTAGACTGACCACAAGCCACCTGAATGTGAATCGATGGTTTATGCTCCTGTAGGAAACAGGCTCGTCTGAAGACAAACACTGGTTCTTCACGACATCCTCGTCACATCATCAGTTTATTGGAGGAACATGAAATGTGTTTGATGCATTCAGCACTGGAACCTTCAACATGACAGATCAGTACATTAACCTCCCTCAGCCAGACTCTCCACACGAGTACAAACCTTCAGTTTGGAAAATGTTTCACTGTGAAGTTTTATAAAAAGTAATAAAATAGTGCAACTTCTTTTAAACTTTGTTTTCCATATTTATCTACATATAAACAGCCAACTAATCCGCTTCTATTTCAATGAACAACAAGTCCAAACATGGAAACACAGAGAAAAAAAATAGTTTACAAATTTACAATCACCCCAGATTCCTTAAAAACCAGCAGGAGGAGCCACCGCTGACGTCATCATAGGTGAGAACTGAACGAACCAATCAGAAAACAGGCTGAACGATAAATAACACTGCTGAATACGGAGGCCTATAGAGGACACAAAGGTCACAAACTGATTATTTCTTCATCTCCTCACGATAATGTTGCTCATACCCAAGTGCTGAATCTGTTAACCCGAGGTCATCACATTTTACCGTCCAGCTGACCTGAAGGCTTCAGACACAGCCGATCAGCTACCCTGTAGTGACCTTTAGGCTTCAGACAGCCAATCAGGTGACCTGTAGGCTTCAGACAGCCAATCAGGTGACCTGAAGGGTTCTGCTTTATTTCTGCTGACAGCAGGGATATTTGTTGTGTAGCTTTGATGTTTGAATGGAGAGTGAGGTAACAGCCGTTAAAAACACCACAATGACCCTTTAATGTGACATCACCGGCTCTATGAGCTAGAGTCCGATACGTTTTCTCTCAGATTAACAGACTTTAAGTATTGGATATGAGCAACTCAAATTAAATATTTAAAATTCAGAGAGTTGATGACTCGGCCATGACAAGTCGCTCGGCGGCCTCTCTGGTTCGTGGTTTTAACAGATGGTGGCGCTAAGAGAAGCACCTGAAACCACAGAAATGTCCGAAGGTCTGTTATAGCCCCCTACAGGCTGATGTGTCCTTACACCCACAGTCATCATGTTCAGTTTGTCCTGAAGGGGGCACTGCAGGAAACAAGAGATAAACAGGTGTGTTTAAGCTCCGCCCACAAAGAGACAGAGATGAGTGCTTGTTGACATTTTTAAGACTTCAGTAGGTCCAGATGTTCCATGAACCCTTTACAGGTCTAGGTGTTGTTCCATGAACCCTTTACAGGTCTAGGTGTTGTTCCATGAACCCTTTACAGGTCCAGGTGTCTGCAGATCCAGCTCTTTCCGAGTCCAGGTGTGTGTCAGCCCAGGTGTTGTTACCTGTGGAGGTGTGTGTTTGTGTGGCACTGGAGGACTCTGGAAGCTGAGACCACCTTCAGGTCCAGACTCTCCCAGTCGCTGTGATGTAGTTCAGGTCCGGTTCTCGACCTTCTCAGTCCAGGATGTCAAAATGTTCGATATTTTTAGATACCTTTCGAAACAATCTGTGATTTGAATGCTCCAACAGGTACAGAAGCTTCTTAACTTTTTAATTTCATCGATCATTAAAATAACGGATTGTTGGATTTTCTAACATGAGGTTTCTAAAAAGATCGAACAATCAGAACATTTGAAACGAGTGCTTCTTCTTCTTCTTCTTCTGTTGACAGTAATAAACGCAGTACCAGAGGATCCTAAGTAATTAAGTGATATAAATACCTGTCTGTTACCACGGTAACAAAGAGAGACATCCTAGGCACCTTTTTAAATCGCGGTGTCAAAAAGTTGCAGACATTAGTGCAATTTAGACGGATTACGCTTAAAAACAACAAATGATCCGATCTCAGGTGTCCAGGATTCTATTCTTGTTTCTGTGGTTTCAAAAAGGTATCTATATCATTGGAATAGAACCGAATCAAAGTTTGAGTCTGGACTCTGAATCACTGAGGAGCTTTTTCCCCGTCTGAGGCCTCGATTCCAAGCAGGGCCTGGACCGCCTCCAGGGGGACACCCTCTGGGGTCTGGATGTGCATGGTCGTCCCGTCCGGCCCGTTCACGATCACAATCCCGTCCAATCCAGGCTCCGCCAGTTGGACCGTCATCCCCTCTGTCTGGATGTAGATCTCCTGACCCTCCTGCAGCTCCTTGGAGTCCTTCTGAGGGGGGGTTGGAGTCTGGGCAGAGCTGGACTCAGGTGTGTCAGGTGTCTTTGAGTCTGCCGTGGTCTCAGGACTCACATCTTTCTGGCCTGTGATGTCACTGCTGCTCAACACCTGGTCCTGGCTCTGTGCGAGAGGTTCCACCTGGGGGTGCGTCTGCTGAAGCTCCTCCCTCTGGTCCTCACCTAAAGACACCTCCATAGGTATGGCAGCAGGAAGGGCCTGTGTGGAGGGCGTCCTATCAGAGGAGCTGAGGGTTCAGAGAACACATTCAGACCGCACCTTTAACAACAGCTCTCAATGTCATCACCTGTTCTACCTGTCACTCAGAGGAAAGGGGGCGGGGCAGCTCACCTGGTGGTGGACGCAGTGCTGGATTCAGCTGGAACCACCAGTGGAGGAGCAGAGACAGGCTTCGGGGTGGAATTTACAGGGGTCACAGAGGCTGCAGGGGTCACAGAGGTCGCAGGGGACAATGAGGTTGCAGGAGTTGCAGGGGTCGAAGGGGTCACAGAGGTCAATGAAGTCGCACCTTTTAAAGAAAAGTGAGAAAACAACACCTGACATCAGTTCAAGAGTAAAATCCAGTACGGAGTAGAACTAAAGGATTACAGAAACAGTAGAGTGTATTAGTGTCACAGGTGTCTAACCTGTTTTCGGCGTCTCGATGCCGTTCTGGTGAACTGGAACGCTGTTCTCCATCTTGAATCTCTTTGAAGGCGGCAGCATCTTGGAATTCTGGGAAACAGAGTTTGTGACTGAGTCAGACAGGATCAGGTTTTTACCAGAGGTACTGACAAACCACAGAGAACCAGACTGAACCAGACCAAACCTGGGTCCAGCTCTCAGAAACACAGTGTGCTGTTGGCCTTTACCTCCATGTATCGGACGTTCTTATTGGTCAGGCTGGAGCTGGGAGACGCTCCAGGAAGCACCTTCATCCTATTCACCTCGTCCAGGATCCCAAGGGAGCGGGCCACCTGGACCACAGAACAGTTGAGAACAGTTGAGGACAAAGAGAACCGTGCAGATCACAGAGAGAACCGTGCAGATCACAGAGAGAACCATGCAGATCATAGGCAGTCAGAACGTCTCACCTCGATGTTCCTGACCTCCAGCGGCATGGCTCCGACCTGCGGACTGATGATGTAATCCTGGGCAGCCTGCCTGACCTGAGTCTGAAGGGACTCAAACTCACGGTAAATGTCTGGAAACCGAGTCCGAGTCGAACCCCCCTGCTCGACCTGAAACAACCAGAGGACAAAACATGATCCGTCTCCTCATCAGTGTGTGTCAGTGTTGTGTATCAATGTGTGTTAATGTGCGTCAGTGTGCATCAGTGTGTATCAGTGTGTGTCAGTGTGCGTCAGTGTATTAGTGTGTGTCAGTGTGCGTCAGTGTATTAGTGTGTGTCACTGTGCATCAGTGTGTATCAGTGTGTGTCAGAGTGCGTCAAAGTGTGTCAGTGTGTGTCAGTGTGTATCAGTGTGTGTCAGAGTGTGTCAGTGTGCATCAGTGTGTATCAGTGTGTACCTTTGCCAGCAGCAGCTCCCACAGACTCAACACTTTGGTTAAACGAGGAAGAACAATGTCCATCAGCTCCTCGTCTTCACACTGCTCCACTAGCTGTATACAGAACACAGTTGTCATGGAAACAGGATAACAACGACTCAGATATGTTACGTATCAACCAGCCGTCCTCTGACCTCCTGCAGTCGGTCTCGTCTCCTCTCTGCTTGCTGCTCTGGGGTTACCGTGGGGACAGCAAGCTTTGGAGGTCGCCCCCGCCTCCCCCGCCGACTGAGGAGGCCCACTGTCACCTGAGAGATTAAAATCAAGACAATGATGTAATGATGATTTCTGTTTCTAAACAGCTGTGATTCACTGAACACTTTCACTGCTTAAATCAGAAAGGTCAAGTTTAAACCAGTTTAAACCAGTTCTAAATTAGCTCACTTTAGGAGGCGGTCCCAGTGGTCTGCCCAGGCCCCGTCCTCGACCCCGCCCTCTGCCTCTTCCTCGTCCTCTGGGCCTGCCGGGGCCCCGGTGATGAAGGCCCCTGAGTCCCACGGCTGCTGCTGGACCCCCCTCCACCACCTGAGGACAGACAGACAAGTAATTAGTAACTGAGCAGAAGTTAACAACCCATCATATAACGAGCCAGAACAACTCACTGTCATTAAACAGTATTTAACTGAGGGTAGGCCTCTTACTCTGCTTGTTGCCATAGTAACAGGTTTATCTTCCTTCTTCTTCCCTTCCTCCTCTTTGACCCCTGCTGAAGTTGTCTCCTGTGATTGGCTATCCTCTCTGAGGGGGCGCGGTGTGTTGCTGGGCGGGTTGTCAGGCTCGGGGTCCCCGTGGCTTGGGTTCAGTTTGTAATGCCGGTTCAGACCTCCAGGTCCGATGTAGGCCTTGTCGCAGGTCTGGCAGCGGTGGGAACGGGACTTGTGGCTGTAGGTGAGGTGAGAGGAGGAGCTGGGGGCGGAGCCAGCCTTCCTTTCACCGTCCCCCTCCTCCTCTACACTCATATCGGAGTAGTCATCGGAGTCGGACTGGTGGCTGTCAGCCAGGTCCTCGGTTTTTATGAACTTGTAGTCTTTGGCTTTATACTTTGGGGGTCTGGAGACTCGTCCTGATCTTGTCTGTACCTTCACCGCCTTCTTCTCTCGCTTCTTTAACTTCTTCTCCTTTTCTTTTTCTCTGTCTCTTTCTTTCATAGTAGGGGGTTGAGTGGAAGGAGGCGTGGCTGCAGGGGATTTGGCTACTGTGGCAGCAGCAGGTGTGGTGGTCTTTACTGGGGATGCTGGGACTGCAGGTGACTTTACTGGGCTCTTACTGGTGACTGTCCTAGTGCCGTTAGCTGGGGTTTTGATTAGCGGAATGCTAACAGTTTTAGTAGTAGAGCTGGGCGTGGTCTTCTTGACGATGGATGAGGGCGGCGCACTTACAGAAGAGGGGGTCTGGACTCTAATGGGGGACACTGCAGGTTTCTGACCAAGACTGGGTGTGGTACCTGCTGGTTTGACCTGGCCTGCCACCTTGTGGACCACTGGGAGCAGAGATCCGACCATGGGGGCGGGGCTTTGTAATAGCAGCTGGATGGGGGGATCCCCTGGGTTCTGCTGCAGGAAGAACTGTTGGCCCTGCTGACCAACCATGGGCTGGATGTGGATGATCTGAGCACTGCTCACGCTGCCATTGGCTGACAGCTTCACCTGCGGATGATTCACAGCTACAGTCTTCTGCTGGGAGGCGGAACCTGCCTTGACTTCCTGTTTGGGAGGAACCTGGATCTGTATCCTGACAGGCTCAGACTGAAAAGACAGAAGGATAAAAATTAGAGGGATCAAACCTGCGAATGACACTGATCATCATGGAGATGATGTGAGACGACTGAACGCTGCAGAAGACAGACTCAAGAAACCCGGAAGAGATTGAAAAGAATGATTTACCTTTATTGAACAAAATCGCCTATCAACAAACACTCAGTGGCAGCAGTGGTGTTCATATTTTATTCCAAATCGCAAATTAATATAATGTTAGTTTCTAACAGAGAGATAAGATGGAACCCTTGTCCTCTCCTCTCATAAAAAAAAAAAAGATCAGCAGCTTAGGTCAAATTTCAGCAGCCGTGCACCTCTGCTTCTAGATGCATATTAGGGAAACACTTAGTGCTGAGCAATAATCAAGTTTACATTTCAATTACCATTTTGTCTTCCCATGATCATGAACACAACATAATCGAGATGAAAAGATTATTTTGCAGCATGCCGTGTTGCGCTCGTTTTCTCAAAAGGTGTTGTCATGTGTGGTTATTGATTCAAAATGTTCTCATCACCACTGACTCAAAGACATTTATGTTTCTCTATAAACGCAGGTATTGCCTGTTCAAAGTGTTCAGGTGGTTAAAGTTAATAAATACTTGTGATGATTTTTTTGCCATAATCGAGCAGATCTACTTTACACGTATTTATTTGAAAGTTGTGATAATAAGGTATCATGATGTGGTACCATGAGTGGAGTGAATTGTTACATCCCTGTTGCTCAGCGGACTGGATAAGGTGGGACTCACAGACACACTAACAGAACAAGGTGTGTAGGAGGGGGGTCATTATGGATCAGGTGAGCCCCTCAACTGACTCACCTTCTTCTGGAGCACCTGAACCGGGCTAATGGTCTGCTTGGCTACCTGCTGGGCAACACTTTTCAGCTGTTGAGACGCGTTATTCGGGGCAGGGGTCTTTAAAGTCTGCTGAGTAACCTGGACCTGTTGCTTCACACTCTGCTGGACCTGGACCTGCTGGACCTGTTGCTTAGGACCATGCTGGGGGACCTGGACATGGACCTGCTGCTGCGACTTTGTGACCTGGTTGATGACCTGCTGCAGCTGACTGGGGTCCAGGGCCGTGTTTTGGACCGGGATGGTTTTGACCTGCTGTAGCAGCTGGGCCGCCTCGGTGTCCGACACCTGGACGATCTGCTGCTTGGTGAGCTGCTCCAGCAGAGCCTGCTGCTCCTCCGCCGTCAGCCCGGAGCCCTCCAACAGGCTGCCGTCCGGCTGCACATAGATGATTGTAGTGTTACTGAGGTCCGAGCCCAGCCCGGTGAAGTCTGTGCCCACCAGGATGCTCTGCTCCTCCGTGCAGCTCTGAAAGAAGTCCGCCAGCTGAACCCCAGATATTGTCGGGGCACCCTCCTCGGGCTGATTGGACTCTGCACCTGGTACTGTTTGTGAACTCTCCCCGGGCTCAGTGGTCTCTGCTCCGGGTATTGTTTGTGAACTCTCCCCGGGCTCAGTGGTCTCTGCTCCGGGTATTGTTTGTGAACTCTCCCCGGGATGACCGCTCTGGTCGGCGGGCGCTGCAGACACATTCTCACCGGGTTGGGTGCACTGAGCGACGGCCTCTGAAGATAAACTTTCACCGGGCTGGGTGCTCTGGGGGGCGGGGGTCTGTCCCGCGGCCCCCGGAGGCTCCGCGGCTGTTATTGTTCTGGTCGAGCCGCTGTCATCCTCGTTGTCCGCCATTTTGGCTGTGGGCTAACAGTTAGCTTAGCTGAGACTGGGGGGGGCAATCCGTAGATCAGATCAAACTGATCGACGATAAATCTCACAGAATAAATACTTTTCTGTAAAACCGGTGTGTGCTGGTGAATAAAACGTCCCGCTGGGATGAAGGAGAACATTAAAGGGAGTGGTGATAACGGGAGCGGGTAACGGTTAGCTGGCTGAGTTTTGTACTAGCCTAGCTTAGCCATCACCAGGGGCGGGAGTGCAGAAATCCCGGACTGGATCCTCTTCTAGAGCGGGGCTGGGGTTAGGCTAGGTTTAGGATTTATTCTGTTATTGTATGATATTATTTTTCTATATTTAAAATTCACCGAGGAAAAAGAATATATTATAAGCAAGTTTTTAGAAAAAATAAGCGCTCACCGAGAAATATACATAAACATGTTTATGTAACAATTCTACGTATAATATAAAAATTACAAAGAATATAAAATACATATTTTTATTGTATATACATAGACATCCACCTAAAATACATTTTAAGTTTAAGGCCATCATAAGTTTATTTTTAAACCTTGATGCAATTCTTTAAAAAAAAAATCAAATCAATACCTGTTTGGATACCATGGCAGCAAAAATATAAGTTTCAGACTTTATTTTTTCAATAATAAAAAAAATGTAGACAAACCCTAACCCTAACCATTAAATCGAAACATTGCAAACATATCTGCATTATTTAGACAGTGTGCTCGATGGATCCTTTCCTAACATTTCATACGATAGTTTATAATACTAAAATAACAGATTGTACCGTTTTAAACACGAGGGAGAGGGTTAGAGAAATATCGAAGAATCTAAATTTTGACAACCTTAAAGATCCAGTTTCCAGAGTTTACAACTTGCAGAGGCTGAGTTTCCGTTTCCGGTCATGCATTTATAAATGTATTTATGAAATAATTCTCCCGCTGCCGATTATATGGTGATGAAAATGTAAATTTTGCCGTTTAAAGTAATATGGAATACACTGGGGAGTCCGCAGATCAGCTGATGGGTTGTTAAAGAATAAAAATAAAAATTGTAACAGAACGATTTATCTGAAGTGATGGTTAGTCCTGACCAGCAGGGGGCGCAGTTTGTTGACAGCCGCTCAGCATCAGTATGAAGCTGTCAGACAGACAGACAGACAGACAGGGCGATGTCACCTCTCCGCTCTATAATAACCTGCTGCTGTCATTAAAACATCTGTAAGAACATCAGGGCGGAATCCTCTCTGTAACACCTGAGTAAGTGTCTCACTGTCTCCGTCCTGCTGCTAACGCTAGCTCCAGATGCTAACCTCTCAGTTTCATATGATGCTAGCTAGCATGGCTCCGTGTTTGTGAAGCTAACTCAGTAAACAACATCATAATAATATTCTGTCGATGACACCAGTCTTCGTTGTGTGAGAGGGGATGTTTGTAGTCAGCTGTCAGATGTGACAGAAGCCTGCTAAGCCGACAGTCACCTGGCGATGCCGACGTCCTGCTTTAGAGAAATCGTCACACCAAACTCCGTTAGAAATATTATCGATTTAAATGATTCCTTATGTGAAACTGATATGAATGTACTTCGCAGCACAGTTTGAGATATGACACATTTCTTTAAAATGTTCGGTTCAGTTCGGCGGATGACAGACCCACCAAAGAGCCTTTATATGACCTTAAATCTCGGCTGTTTACGTCTGATCACGTCGTTTGTTGCCGCCCTACTTGACTCTTAAAAGACAAGAATAGTGCACGAAATACTGCAGATAAATCATAAAAGCTTAACTTTTATTGATATAATTGACTTTTTAATTTAAGTGTTGGTGGTTGTTTGGTTTATTTGTTATTTAAGGGAATGCTTTCCAACACTATAACAGGTCAAATACACGTATTTTTCTACATCTTTAAACACTGTTCATGAGCATACAGGAAGAAGACAACTTCTAACACCTTTGTGAATCACCTTTGTAAGTTACTGTAATACAGGATCAGATGACTAACCTGTTCATGTACACATTTATATTTTCACTTATCATATCAGATTTAACTAAACATACTGAAACTGTCGGTTACAATCATCTCAGATTATTAAATGGAGGATCTGAACTGACTTTCAGGACCAGTTGAGTCCAGCTTGGCAGAAAGATGGCGGCCCAGCCAAACCCACCGCCGTCTGTCTTGAGGGAGTTTTGCCCGCTCTACTACCTGCTGAACGCCATCCCAGCCAAGGTACTGAACCCTTTCCAAACCAGACTAAAACTAAGACCAAGCTTCAGCACAGTCTGAGTCAAACCCAGGCCAATCCGGGCCCTGGTCCCTGTGACCAGAGTTTAACGACTGTACTACTAAGATTGCTATGATGATGATGAAGATGAAGGCTCTTCATCTCTCTCTCTCTCTCTCTCTCTGTCCCTGCAGGTGCAGCGAGGTTTCAGGTCGGTCTTGGTCTACCTGACCGCTCTAGACAGCAGCAATGACTTCCTAGCGGTGGGCAGCAGCATCGGCATGCTCTACCTGTACTGTCGCCGCCTCGCTCACATGAACAAGTACAGCCTGGAGGTCAGAGCTCTTCTTCTTCTGTGGTGATCAGTCTGTCTGAACAGGAAGTCCAGCTCAGCCTCAGTCCTCCACATTTCCTACGAGTGTCACTCTGTTCACATATACAACCTGTGTGTGTGTGTGTGTGTGTGTGTAACAGGGTAAGAGTGATGCCATCACTGCTGTGAAGCTGCTCAGCTGCTTTGATGATCTGGTTGCCGTGGGAACAGCTTCAGGTCGAGTGGCAGTCTTCCAGCTGGTGTCTCCACTTCCTGGTCGAAACAAACAGGTGAGCAGTCGGACAGGTGTGTTAAAGACAGGTACAGAAATACATCGACCTCCCTCTCTCTTTCCCTCTCTCTCCTGCACTTCCTGCTTTCTTACAGTGCAAACGCTTCTTCTTGCTCTCTGCTTTGCTTACATTCTTTTGCTGATATCTTCTTTTTTTACCTGATTTAATCGACAGCCGGTCCTGGACATTTACAAATCATCAGGACTGTATTTTCTAAAAGATACAGGAGCTCTTTAGCCATATTTTTTAAAAATGTTTGACCTCTGCATCGTTACACGACTGTGGCCTGACAAGAGCACAAGCCTGTGCCACAGTACTTTGAAACGCGGTACACAGCTAAAGCTAATCAGCAACAAGATGCCTCCCTTCTCAAAGTATGAATACCACAAATTTCTTCAGAAAATTGCAGTGCTGGAATGACACCACATTACCACTAACTCAGTATAGTGGACAAGAGCAGGCTAACACGGCTAAGGAGCACAGAGACCTCTACAAAGACAAAGGTGGGATCTGTATTGTCTAATAAGTCTACGAATTGTAGTCCTTGGAACTGTCTTGGTGCTAAGCCAAAGAATAAATCATTTCTCTGGGAAATGGGGGGACGGATAACAGGCAGAGCACAGCGCGCTGAGATATGTGATGAGACCGGCTGGCCTGCACTACCTCCCCTGCAAAGTGCCTCTTCAACCCCTATATCTAGAGGGACACAGCCGTCGACAGCTGCGAAAGGGAAGGTTAGGAACAAACCACCCCCACAAATGAATGTGGAACTACAGAACAGATATTCCCCTCTGTTACAGAGCCCTGGATCTTCATCTGGTTCTCCATCCTCAGGCACCAGGGTAAGGACTGAGCATATCAAAAAGTAAAAGGCTACAGGGAAAGCTAAAGCCTGGGCTTGAACTCTGATTGTGGGTGACTTTGCTGTTAAAGATTACAAAGATGTGCGGTAAAAACACAGAAGTACCGTGTTTTCCCAGAGATATGGTCTCTGATTTAGCAGAAAGGATCCTGCATATTGTGGCTGAACACCCCACTGTGAAGAATGTCATACTGCACATTGGGTCAAATGATGTCACAAAACAACAATCTGAAGTCTTGAAGCAGGACTTCACTGGTCTGCTGAAGATGGTCAGCCCCTTGGATGTGGATGTGTTTATCAGCGGCCCCATACCACCAGTCAGAAGAGCAGAGGAGAGATTCAGCAGGTTGTTGGCACTGAATAACTGGCTTACAACTGCATGTAATGCCCATTCAGTGAATTTTATTAACAATTTTAACATTTTCTGGAAACACAGATGTCTTTTTAAGGCAGATGGATTTTGCCTGAACATGTCAGGGGTGAAACTGTTCACCTCTAACCTATTTTACTCCCTGCCTCAACCATCAGTTCTCTCTGCCAAGGACATGAGACAAAAGAAAACAGCTTTCAAGAAAGACAAAACACAGCGGATGAAAACCTTCGTCAAGAATCATGTCTGCCAGTATCTGAGGAGAGACCTAAAGAGGAGAGACATCGGAACCAAGAGGAGGGGTCTCCATCCACCTTCGACCCCTCACCAACACCTGTCTTACTGCCCTTGTCCCCTCGAACCCCGATCAGATCATCATCTTCCTCCCTAATCACCCTATCTCCCTCCTCCCCCCACCTGGAGTTCACTGACCAGATGAAGGAGCTGGTCAATGCTGGATTAAAAAGTACCCCCCGTCCTTCTCCCTTTTTCTCTTCCATAAACACCCGACAGCGCCCACCTTCGCCCGTTCCGACACGGCACGGGCGTATTTTGTTAGACCAAAATAACAGTGCAGCTGTTCTTATCAAGTCAACCCCTCTCAACTTCAGTTTTGTAAGCGAGGCTAGAGTGCATAAGAGAGGAGGAGGAGTTGCAGTTTTGTTTAATGACTCCTTCCAATGTAACCAATTATCTTTTGGAAATTTTGCTTCTTTTGAATATGTGGCCCTTCAGTCCAACCCGCGAGCCATGTTCCTAAATATTTACAGGCCACCTAAATACTGTGCAAACTTTTTCGATGATTTCACTATACTGCTGTCTGTGATCTGTATTGACTTTGACTGTGTTATTATTGTTGGTGATTTTAACATCCATGTTTATAACCCCCAGGACAGAGGGACTAAAGAACTGTGTTACACTCTTGATAGCTTTGGGCTAACTCAGCATGTGACAGAGCCCACACACAACAGAGGGCACACTCTGGACTTAATCATCTCCAAGGGCTTGGACATCTCCAAGATTGTTGTTTCAGATATTGCCCTCTCTGATCACTCCTGTGTTTTATTTGAGAGTACTATCTTGGTGTACAAAAGTATTCAATCAAAAGTGATTACAAAACGGTGTATCACTGAAAACACCAGTGAAATATTTAACCAGGTTTTCTCTTCCACACCTGCCCTGTCC